GGGAGAAAGAAAAATATGTATTCTTTAGATATTACAGTAGTAGACTTTAATCAATTAAATAGACCTTGAAACCCCTAAACCACTTCCAAGATATCTTGAGCAATGCCAAATCACGCCCCCCCCCCAACAAAACTGATGCACAGAAAATACTTTATCAAACTTAAATATACAAAGCAATTAGCATTTTGCACTTGTCAACACTATAAATGCTGAAAACAGCTTTTGTTAAGTAAATATATGGCAAGTTTATATGTACAGTACCTTTAATTTTTCTAGTTGTAATATATCCCCTAAGGAAATACAGTGTACATAAATAAGGATAATTAAGTCAAATTAGGCGAGACTTTTTTTATTCCTTGTTTCGCATACTTATTTTTTTAAAGATTATCAGAGGAGGGTGGAATAAAAATAAAAATAAAATTTTGTTTTCTTATTTAACAAATAGTTTTGCCAAAATCATCCAGACAGAGGTGAAAATAAAACTAAAATTTTATTGGCGATAGTTAAATAATTATAATTAGGAAGCAATATCTTTGAAAATTTCAATTGCAGCAGAGGGCGTAATAAAAATAAAGAAAAACATTAAATTTGTTCTGAAATTTCCACTTTTTGGTGGTGGCGGGTGCGCTAATTGGTCAAAAATAATATATTTTATTATTTGAAATCATCAATATTTGCAGTTGGTGGGTTCGCTAAACAAGATATAAAAAAAGGCTCGCCTTAATATGAAAATAATATTTCATTAAAAAATTTGTAAACATTATAAACAATAGCGGTAAATAGCCTTAAATTCCCTATATACACCATTTTTGCGAAATTTTAAATGAAAATTTCCAAGAACCTGGCAACTACCACTGGGGGTCTTCCAGAGGCCTAGGCATTTTGCTCTATGTATTTACCAGTGAACGACCTTGTTGTAGTGAGGTAGCCTAGGCTAGTCTTTGAAAACTAAATGTCAAAACAAAAAACATAAGAAAATAGGGGCACATAAATCCTGCAGTGTTTTTGGATGTCAAAGTACTCCAAAAAAAGATGTCTGGAAAAACGGAGTTTGCTCAGACTAGACTGATGGAAGTCCCTCTGTGAAAAGTTGAGAGACGTTGGCGGCGCTGTTTCAAAATACACATGAATAAATGGTGTATAGTATAAGGAGCTGATCTATAATTTTAACTTATTAATCACACTGGGTATGATGACAAGTGTAATATAACAAGACAATGAAATATAACTGATATAAAATGAAGAAGTTATTGAAATTATGAATACATTATCATAATACATATCATATACTGATATATAATGTACCCTGAACTTGACATGCATTATCATATTATTAGGAAGGATGTTTCCAGGCATCTATTGTAAAAACAAAATTACATTTAACCCTTACTCCCAGTGCATAAAAAAATTATAATTAAAAAAAAAATTGGTTTTAATCAAAATGTGAGATTTATTCCACATAACCATTGAACAACATGATATTCATGATAAGTATTGTCAATAAGTAATTCATTTCTAAGATGCTAAGTATTGAAAATGCTATGGATAGAAAAACACAGTTTTTAAAATAGGTGAACATATAAAGACGTATTTCCATCTCTCCACGTAGGATCATCGGCTACTTTAGCACGGCACATCGGACAGGTTCGCTCACGGTCAAACCATAATGATACGCACTCATCACAGAAAATGTGCTGCAAAGAGAAATAGAGATGGTTTATGTTTACAGTTTACCCACCAATACAAATCCCTCTAATTCTGAGCCCCCTCTAATTCAAGACCACTTTTTCAGAGGACTAAATAAAAGTCTTTAATAGTTTAACACTAACATAATCCTCTAATAGGAGACCAAACCCGAGACCGCCACAAATTTTCGGTTCAAAAGGTGGTCGAAATGTATTTTCATGACTTTGAATATTTTCTTATTGTTTTTTTCTATAACGTGATACAGTAGTGACATGCAGTGAACAGTAAATATCGGTGCAACATAAAAATTGAATCGCAGACGAATCTTACTTTGCATTGAAGCTGTATCGGGTCAGTGTAATCATCCTGACAGATTGGACATGCTTGACCATTTACTGGTGGCTCTCCTTTCGATAAATGAACACCATATTGCTGTTGACAACAAAAGAAAACAACATACACAGTGAGATTCTTCAATAAAACTTGAGCAGACACTGAAGAAAAGTGACATAAAATCTAAAATAAAAACCACTTATTCATAGATTTATTATTTATAGGTTGACTTACAACATCAAAACATATGCCCTTGGTAGCTGCTCTTACTTCTTTCAGTTTATCAATAAGACTTCCAGCCTGAAAGATGACAGAGCAAAGGTAGAATAATTATCATGCAACATCTTGTGTGCTAAGTTATTTTTACAACAAAAATTAGTTTTAAATCTTCTTTTTTAAAAAGTTATCTCTCATTTGAAAAATTGAATTAAATTAAAAAATAATTTCCTCTTAAACTAACATATGCAAAATGATTATGTGCCAATATTATTTGCTTAGATCCTTAAATTTGCTGGCCAATTTAAAGACTTTAAAATGATGACCTAATAAAGGTTGAAATGTTGAATGGTCGCCTCCCTATCTCTATTTGGAGTAACATCAAAGATCTTATAAACACAAGATACAGTTCTCCGTGATTTTTAGGTGCAAATTCAGTAATAACACAGTGTATGGCGCCCTCTTGCAAAAGTAATTATTTTTTAAACTTTGACTGCTTTGACCACAGCATACACTGTGCAACTATACCATTACGCATAACAATTAGAAGCGTTGATGTACAATGCGCACTCTCTTTAAAACAATAAGGACCAAAAGCGTACTTGGTAACTTTGGTGTGATGCGAACACCTTCCATAGCAACAACTGGGGCTCCCTCCCAAAAGTGATTACTGTACTTTTCTGCCAAATCAATGCTTCTATTTTGTTATGTGTAAATTGTGGAAAACGTTTAGTGGTTAGTGATGGATCTGATCCCAAAGTAGCAGTGGGTACACTGCAATGCTATTCCGATGGCATTTTTCATCAGGAGAAATAATAATATGAATGATATTTGCCCTACCTGATGTGTTATTGTACTGAATGCTCAGTGCATTCCCAAATGCTTGCGAATTCATTTAAATTAGCAAATTAATTTTTTTGGGGAATTGAATTCCTTATTTTAACACCGTTTATTTTTAAGAGTTATAATCAAATCTGTGATGAAAAATTCATATAAATACCTTAAATATAACATAGAGTAGTACCAATCCATAGTTAATGGACCAATGGGTTTCTGGGTCATTTGATAGGTACTGGATCCATATAGGCATCGGGGTCAAGGTGCGATACATTTGTGAGAACTGCTCGATTAGTAAGTATATCTTACCCTAATAAATGAAAACAGATGAAAAATAATTCAGTTAGCACGATACCCAATACAAGCCAAGCTTACTCTGACTTCTGCATTTGCATATTAAGAAATCGTACAAAATTGATGACTATGTACTAATGCAAATGAAAAAAAATGATTGATTGATCATACAACATTGGCTACTATACAGTTCAAACCAGTGACCTTTACAATACTCGTCCATTAAACTGCATCAACATTTTACATTTATATTTTTACATTATAATCGCCCCCACCCCCACTGGGTCAAACATCTACGGAACATATCCACAGCTCCATGGTGGGCAGTTAGTCCTTAATAATTGCCCTACCAGGTTACAGACCTTTACTGTCATACACATAAAGAAAAGTACACCACTTATACAAGTTAGAGGTTTTACAGAGAAAAATATATTATTCAATATGTTGGACTTACCCTCCGTTTAAATGATAAGCATCGTCTTGGTAGAATGGTAACAATACCTTTTACAGCTATAGTCATATATTTTATCATGAAATCTGTGATGCCAACAATCCATAACAACATCCAGAAATCCATTGTTTCATATACAGGTTGGCAGAATATTAAACTAAAAATAAAGTACAGAATAAATAATTATTATTATCATTTGGTTCTACCACATGGTAAATTCTTAACATAAGCGCCAATATTTTATCACTGTAATTACCCTCCACTGGCATCAACATTACACCTTGACAGATTGTTCAATAGCTCCACCTCACCCCACCTTGTTGTTGAGGCTGAGGTGATTCAAGATATGTCACCTCTAGGTACCCAAAAATGGTACTCTCAAGCCATTTGTCTCTGCCCCCTGTTATTACCATTCCAATCTCAAGACACTTGTTTTTGTCACAATCATCACTATTGTTGTCATTAACATCATTGTCATTATATCCTTTGCTTTTTCATCTTCAATGAGGTTTTTACAATTGGCTATCCATTTTTAAATCAACTAAGACCCATGAGCTTTAGGTTGTCATTGCAATTAGTCTGCTATTTCTGAATTGTTATATTTTTAATAATAGTAATATTAATAATAATAGTGTAGTTTTATATAGCGCACATATCCATCTAATGTAAGATGCTCAGGGCGCTTGATATGTGGACTAGGAATTCGACCAATGACTTTCTTCACTCCTAAGAGTCCCTTCGTGTCTCTGCTATCTGGTAACCCGGTACCAGAAACTCTTGTCGTCTACCACAGGGGCTGCCTGTTTCAGTACACCGGGGTATCCCCCTACTCGTCTCAAAGGATGTACTGCGTTCTTTATAGTACACACAAGCCATTGTGTACACTGGGCCTACGGTTTATAGTCCTTATCCGAGAAGACTTGTTCTACCACCAGAACCATAGGCGAGCGTGCCATGCAGCGCCTCTGCTAACCGCTTGACCATTTGACTCACCAAAGATGCATGTTAAAAAGATTATATTATTATTATTTATTAATAATATTAAATAAAGATGCTGTCATTGTCACCACTACCGACGTCATTATCTTCAAAAACATCATTTCATCATCACCATCACCATCCTCATCGTCACCATCCTCATCATTATCTTCCCAATCCTTTTCACCATTATCATAATACTAATACATTGATTCCATTACCTTCTATATAGATGCTGATCAGAAAATATATAATAAACAAAAAATATATTGAAAAGAAGAAACACGAGCATGATAATAAGTGAGAAAATCTTCCTCTTCGCCTGTAAGAAAAAAAAAACATTAAAACTTAGAAAATATTTGTCAGCATCCAATCTAGACAAAAATATTATGAATCCTCAATTGTACAGTAGATGTTCTATATAATTTGTGAGCACCAAATGTCTTGCAAATCCTAAATTTGTGAATTTTTATTTCGTAATTTTGTTTTGTCTATACAGTATATTTAAAATGCATAAGGATAAATGCTTACTTTCAATATAACTTGCTGTTTCAAATTACCATTGTGATGAAAAAATGTTCCAACAAGTCCAATAACAACAAATAAACCTAAAATAAATGTATAAATGTTATATATAACAAATTTTCAAGTTTAATTTAAAAATATCATCATTGTATAGTACATATAGCTTTAAACTGCATCAATAATATTATTGTTTACATTTTGTCACACAATAGGGTGCATACCTCTGCCCTGTGCCTGAGAGTACAGTACCAACAATATGCATACCGTGTATGATGGGCAAAACTGCAGTACCCTCAAGAAAATAATGGAATCTCCCGACATATTCAGGCACATTATTTTCTTGAGTGATGCTGCCCTGAAGTTCAGCATTTTATTTATTTTATTTTTTTGACTACAGCGAAAAATATTTTTAATAAGCTAAAAAGAATAGGCCTATCTTACTGGACGGTAGGTGATGCGACAGTGTTATGTGATCGTTTTGCTCTTCAATATAGATTTAAAAATGGTCTTTGTTGTATTTTTGTGTATTTTCTACTTTTTAGGCACAAACAAATTATTGGTATAAGAAAAAAAAAACTTTTGATACTGACCTACCCATTTTTGGAATTTCCCAAAACGTGGCCAACACAAGAATTTTTTTTTTTATTTGGCCTTGTTATAAGCAACATTTTGACCTGATCACAATATCCTTAATATCAAAATAAATATTTGAAACCAGACAATAATCCCATGGCAATCATTGATTACTTTGACATAAGAATCACCATAGCTTATTTAATTTTTTCCCAAACTTGTTCAATTCATATAATGTTAGGTTCACACTAGACCCTTAGTAGCCAGATCGGAAGCTAATCGTTAGCATGCATGTGGTAATGCTTGATCAGTTAGCACTAGCCATGCTAGTGAACATAGCCACTGTCTTAAACAAATTCAAGTATATTATTAACATTAGTTTAATAATCAACGCTAAATCTATAATAAATATCCATAATCAAACTCCAATACATATATTATTTTTTTATCTGTAATATGATGGAGTTAAATAAACTATTAATAATATATTCATATATAAACAATAGTGTATCTTACCTAATCTATGATCTATCAATATTTTTACAGCAAGTAGAAGTATGAACAAAATTGTACGATCTAGTATTGACCGTAAACCTCTCATCTCGGGTACTGTCTGGCCTCCACCAGCACCGTTGCCTCCTTGGTCAGTATCCCCTTCATCTCCCCCTCCGCCTTCATCAGTTGAAATGTCGATGATAGTTGAATCATTGGCAGGTGACCGGTTGTCACTAGAATGAGATGGATGAACAGGTGTGTCCATGGTATTGAGACCTGGTATGATGCCCCGGAGAACTGTGTTTAGATTGTCACCTATTCCGCCTTCTACCAAACCAGCCATAGAGGATGAGCTCTACTACCTTTGAAAAATCAAAGAAAAAGAAAAAATATATACTTTTTAAAATATAATATAAGCCTAGTAAATCAGGCATGGGGGATGGGCTCATTCAAGAATCAATCAAACAAATATGGACATCATGTCACTAATTAGAGAATTAGGAAACAATACTTGTACCACAAAAGCGTAGCTAGGCCTAGATATTAATACTGTCCCACCATAACAAAAGGAAGTAACTATCTACAGGCTAGGCCAGGCCTAGTCCTAGGAAAGTTAGAGTAGAGTAGAGAGAGGTAGTAGAGTAGGCCTAGCCTTTCAATATAGATAGGCCTGGGCCTACAAATTTACTCTAAAATGATTTAAACAACATCATTATTCGTAATGAATACAGATTAGAAGCTTACCTTTAAATGGATTTATATGTCGACCATCAAATTAAATTCAACAGATTTCCCTTCTTTTTTTCTGAAAGTAGTGAAACAGGTAGGCCTACGTGAACGTTACGTCAACCAAAAACCAAGATAACAAAACATGGGGAATCCCAAGTTGATATTTTTGGAATCCCGAGTTGATATTTTTGGGATGTTAGATATAAATTGAAATAAAATATAAGAATAAACACATTACGAGTACATGAATAAACTATTAAATAAATAAAAGTATACTGTGATTTATGCTCTCAATATTATTTTTATGATATAAGATTGAGTGAGTTGATATGTCATTTATATTATAGAGTATTTTCATAACATTGTGAATCCAAATATATTTTTGGAGGTCATCGTCGTCGTCGTCGTCGCAAGGTCATCTTGATCAAATTCACGAATCTCCCCGAGAGCTAGAGAAGAGGAATGATGCAATTTGTGATTTATAGGAAGAAGAAATAACACCTATTAGATGCTTAAAAATAAGCAAAATAAACAAGTTCCATGTTTTCTGCTCGAATTTTACGCAAGCGCTGGTTCTTAGGTGTTATTTTCTTCCTGTCACTTCTGTATTTCATGAGCAATACTTTAACTCAGGTAGGTAGGCCTAGCCTGCTGTCTCAACCTCTCATGAGTCATAATTACCAGCAGCAATTTAGCTATGACTTGGGGGCGTATGCCCGTTTTCAAGTCAACCCATGACATTTAGATTAGGCCTAGACTAGGCTAGCTAGGCAATTTATTATAGTTATGAAATTTACTTAGATATGTAGGCCCTATATGTAATTATTTATACAATATAAATTTAAACTACATAGAACTAGATAGAATAAGAAAATATTAACATTTTTATAATTAATGCTGGTTTATGAATTTTGATTTCAATTTTTTAATGAAAAAAAGAAGGTGATGGATTGAGAACTGCCATGTTTTTGTATAAAGTGTTTGTTTATATGACCAGCTAATACTATAGCTAGTGTGTATTGGTTGTTCTGTATTCATCTGTTTTCATTTTCTGATTATTTAAAAATAAAATTTCAAATATGCAGAAACACAATAACTTACAAACAATTTTTCCCCTTTATACAGAATCCAATTTCATTTGTAGAAGAGAACACAAATATTTCACCTTCAAGACCACCATTTCAGTGGAAGGCTGAGTTTGAACCAAAGAATCATACGTACACAAACAAATGTAGAAACTCTCTACAAGGAAAACATGTTGTTGTTGACGAAAAAGGTGTTTAATTTCTCACGAAAAGCTTTATTTTCAATTGTGTTTTTTCCTCCCATATTTCCTACTGATAATGCAATATGTACATATCACTTTTCTTTTAGGGCAAATAGAAAAATTTATTAGATTATCACTCCCGTCCCGTGTAAAAAATTCGGAAAATATTGATGCGGGAATAAAAAAAAATTTTTTTTTTGCCGCATCAATTATTTTAACAGCATAATAACATGCAATTTTGTGACTTCAAATACATTTTCTTTAATAAACTATAAAATTAAAAGCAGTTTTTATACAATATTTACTATTACAGACCAAATATAAACAGTCCCTCCCTCATCGATAAAAACAAAAGAGAAATAATCTATTGTTCCGATTAAAAAAAAAAAAAGAGTGATAATTTAATAATTTTTTCTATGTACCCTTAGTACAAGCTTTTCTCTACACTGGATTTTTGTTTGAAGGTTTGCATTGCAAAATATCAATAAAATGCTTGCTGTGCACCATGTAGATAGTTCTGAGAACTGTTAACTGTAGAAATAAATGGCTAGGAAAGGCAATGCGATTATTCAAAATAGTGTTTATTTACTTATCCTAGCGTTCTCCTAGGATTGTATGCTTTGAAATTTCAGTGATTCTTCATAAATCTTAGCTAGCCCTAACCTAGGATTGTATGCTTTGAAATTTCAGTGATTCTTCATAAATCTTAGCTAGCCCTAACATCACAGCGTAGTCTAAGTTCGTGGGTCGAAGACCATCATGCATTATTAACCATGTCGTAGATGTACAGGGGCGTAGGCCTAACAGTTTTTGAAAATCCTCAATGTTTGCGGCCAGTATCCTTTACAGCATTTGCTAACAATTAATGCAAAATAATCAGGTTTACTTTCATATCAATTTGGTATAGTTTACTGGGAATTTTGATGATCTTTACAGCAATAACATGGGATGGGCTGCAATAGCAATCTACATGTAAATCACTGCTGTACTAGTTGTTTATATCCAACACCCAAGTTAGGTCATGTGATGCCCATTGCTGAATCCCTCTATTGAGTTAATTCAATCGGTTCACTGTAGAACTATTTATGTGGTGTATAGTGCCTCAAGAATTTATTATTGGATTTTTTAAATTGTGGGTAAACTGACCTGATAATGATCACTTTGTAAAAATTCACTTTCCACTGTCGGTTATATGTTTTATGATTACTGTAACTTAATTTGAACTTTTATTCCAATGAATACTGTACCCAAATTACACATATGTTTGATAATTTTTTACTCTAAATATATTCTTGTTCTGTAGAGGAATCAACTTTTGAAAATATTGGGAAAAATTAAACAAAAACAATGAGTATGTTTTTTTCAGGCTGTGTTTGCCCTCGTATAAGCCTCTTACCAAATGGTTGTTGCAATCAAGAACGTGAGGATGCGTTTCTCCACACATGCGAAACATGTAATGAACACGGCTGCTGTAGTGTATATGAAAATTGTGTTTCTTGCTGTTTAAGGCCAGATAAGGTAGCATAATAAACTATTTTGTGTAAACTGTAATATAATATTAAATATAAAATAAAAAGTGAAAAAATGCTATAAATTATGATTATTTTGATAACTAGATGATAGTGTGGTACTCAACTTTTTATTTGTATATTTATAATAAATCTTGGAACTATAAATATAAGTACTGTACTGTATGTGCAGTTAATTCTATCGACTTTCAAACAATGAGTGAACTAACAACATAACAAGTCGGTTCATAGTTTAAATGTGTATGTCTGATGTCAGAGCGGTAAAAAAATCATACAGTATTATATTAAAGGTTATTGAAGATAAGTTTCATATTCAACTACAGTATATCAATAACAAGTACAAGAGTTTATAAGCATTTCATAACTTTAATAGGAGATGTGATCAATTTGTTGCATTATTAATTAATTATTCCCATGACCCATCGTCTTATTGCTAATCATTTTTCCATTTTCTCTGTTTATTTAGCAAATTGTGTTACAAGGTGTATTGGGCAAAGCAGGCAAAGCTTTTGGTATACTATTTTCGTCTGTATATGATCATTATGAACTTTGCTTGACCAAATGTAGGACATCCTCTTTAGTGAGTATATTTCATTTAAATATTTTATTTGTATTTTGTTATTACAAATTTCACAAGTGATTTGAAAGAAACGTATTGATTCAGCAAGGTCCGAACCCAAGGCCTAATTATTTTTTCGGTTACAATACCAACTAAGCTATTTGACCAAGCTAGTGCAGGCCTTTGGAATAAAAATGTAGTTTAGCTGATTGAGTTTCAGTTATTGTTTATTAGTTGTGTTTATCAGCGCAGGAAAAATAAAATAAATATCATTGTATTTGTGTATGATAATTTATTGGATAATTAACGTATTTAAACCAATAAAATTGTGAATTTAAAATATTAAAATAATTGTTTTTCTGTCACCAGAGTGTACAGCATGAAAATACCTATCGTGACCCAGAAATGAAGCATTGCTATGGTGATGACCTACCGGCTCCACAAGGATCAAACTGAGTAATAATGAATACTCTGTTTTGTGTGTCTTTTCCTACCACCTCATTTTCCATTCCTTTTTAATATTTGTATTTTCATCCTGTTCTTTCACCACATTTGTATTGAAAAGTTTTCTTAGTTATTTATTCCATATTTTGATATTTTCTTGTTTTACTTTACAAATTATTATTTTTCACTCACCAGTCTCTTTTGAATTCCATTATACTAATAAAGTATACAGATTTGACAAAAAACATCAAAAGTTAATTGTGTTAATGTTTCCTAACATGCAGCATATGTTACCCTGAAAATTAAAGTAATACCAATACCACGACTTGTTAAGTATAAAAGGACTGTCTCCTAATAACTTTATTTATGATTTGACAAAGGTCTATTTTTTTACATCATTAGTCCCATATTTTTAAAAATCATTTTCAAGTGCTGAAGCTCTGTCCACACTATCAAATTCTCTTTGACAGAAAACTGTTGTATGCCCATATATAGTCATGTTGTGCCTATATATGGTCATGATGTGATGTCATCATGACCATATTTAGGCATGTCACCTGTTTTTGTCAAACAAAATTTGATAGTCTGGACAGGACTTAATGCTAGCAAGCTCCTTTAGTTATAAGTGAGTCAATCGCAGCATGTACAGCTTTAGAATATTTTCATTTTATACAATAAGCCAGTTAGAGGTCAATATCAAGGACTATCAACATAAACACCAGACGCATAACATATGTTTATGTCGGTTGACTTCGATTAACCTTGGATACGATCATGTGCAGCTCCAACCACGAATTGCCTTATTCAAACAGACATAGGATGATGTGTAAATTCTCCCTAATATAACCACCTCAATATTGTTTCATGAGCTTCACTGGTCAGCCACCTCATGGCATGCTTTTTAATTGATGAAATAGTAAAACCATGAAACCATTGTTAAGGTATTACATTGATTAATTAAATCTTGAAAAGTGGCCTTTTCAAATATTATAAGTTTTTTGGGCTTCTCGGGTCTAAAAAGACTACTAACCCTAGATTTTCAGATTTTGTGTTTGTCAGTGTTGGGCAATAACAGTTTTTTTGGCCTTGCGATACTTATCGTATGTATATAATCATAACGTGTGTATATTTCAAATAAGTTAGCCACTTGTACATATTGTTATGATAGAAGTGTCTACAAAGATACTTTACAATTAAAATTAGGACAGACTGAGTGATGCTATAAGGTTGAATATGTGTGGAATGATTGAATACATTATTAAAGGGGAATGTGTATGGGAAGTGTGTCTGTGTTGAATGAAGAATAATATAGTATATCATGAAATTTTGATTATGTAAATATTTTCGATGTATGCAATTTTTTTGGGGAATAAATTAATTTCCTCTGAATGTTGGTGCATTAAAGGTAGTGGATGGAAGAATATGCATCTTTATACATAACTGGATATGTTTTTTTGTTGTTGAAGAAATTTATTTTATTTTTATGATATAGCAAAAAAATTATTTTTTAACCAGAACCAACATTCAAGGTCCAATTTTTCTTCTGTGATCAGATTTTGCTAATCCCTTTGATTTGTCCAAAGTGCAATAAACATGATGTTCATTTTTAACTAGTTTTGTATCATTAAAAAGCACAAGTATCGGTGCATATTAAGTTACAAAAAAAATTCCTTTATATATTTGTTTAAAATTTGTAATAAATAAATATGTTAGTCTTCTTGTAGAAATGAAGCATATCTACAGAAAGGAGGCTTGCGACAGGGCTGAAAAATTGGACTTGTTCAATTTTTTACTAGACTATGCTACACGATTTAATGTGGCGCTAAACATAGTCATATTGTGTTTCAAAAACCTGTTGCATGTCAACAAATATTTTGATCAAACTGACTGAGCATGCAGGCTGTAACACAAACTGCGAAGATATGTGTGTAATAACCATTGTGTAAATGGATTGTACTGCGTGACAGAAGGTTTTGGTAGTAGTATACTGCTGTTACACGTTGTATAAATAGGATTTACGACAGTGTTACTAATTAATAAAGTGTATGCTCCCCCTTAGTATTCAACTCCTGTTGTTGGCCAAAGCAATTTTGATACTATCGCAATTATGTAGCCTTGATTACTATAGAAGGTGTTATTGCACGTGGACGATTGTACAATTGTATTATACATTGACAATAATATGTAGTAGAATGAATAAGTTTTAATTCTGATTTTTAGCAATTTTATGTATAAAGTTATGAAGTCATTGAAAAAGAAGACCTTCTTGAAGTAGGAATGAATGATGATGCATTTGTATAAAGTAATTAGTGAAAACAGGTCTCCCTTCAATTAAAGACGTCTTTAGCAGCTTTTGTCTCTAAATTAGAATAATAAAGATAAAAGACATTTGTTAATTTGGGACCACAGAAACGTCTTTAATTAGAGGGAGCCTGTAGTTTAATATGAATCATAATGATTTTATTCCTATTTTGCATTTTAAGGTGTCTGAAGAAAATCAATAAAACAAGACAATTTGTATAAATAGACTGTATACTGTTTTGTTATCAACGTCAGTACTTAACGTGCATGATATGTTTATACAGAGGAATACTGTGAAAGACAGAACGCAGACTGTATTTATATGTTCATAGTGATTAAGATTGTAACACAGTGCATGCAGACAGTGTGGAGTGAACCATTGTGGTACAGAATTTGCATTGCGTTCACACTGAAGAATACTGTGCTTAGCAACTGAAGTAATAGACACTGGGAAGTACTTTAAGGCAGTGAATTTATAGACGTGTCTTTAAACTAAAGAATAAATGGAAACTGCATAGAGACTTCAAATGATGAATTTATAGGTGCATGTTCACACTGAGGAATACGGTATCAGAAATTTTCTGCGGAGTACATGTGTTCACACTGAAGACACAGAAACTGCTTTATGAATTACAAGAGCTTGTCAGTATAAATAGGAAATCAAAGGTTTAATAATCGTATATCTCTTGAAGATATTAATGACTTCATTATGGATTCATTGCTTAGTTATCGACCTTTCACCCAGCAATGGCTCAATTCTGTTTTTCAAGAGACATTGCTACCAGGATCGCCATGGATAAAGGTATTGCTTGCAAAATGGTTTTTTAATGATATAACTAATCAAATGCAATCAAATAATCAAAGATTTATTTCATCATACTAGCATTCACAACAACAAATCATTTAACACTCCATACCAAGACATATTTGAAAATAAATATTGCAGGTTTGGTTATATAACTCTCTAGTCCTGTCTTAATTGGTGAATCAAACATTTGCAAGTCTTTATGCAGGCTAGTGACATCAGCATAAATGGATGCAAGCCCCCAGAAAAACTCATGATTCCCCCACGATAGAACCACTTAGTACCGGGCTTAAAGTGTTACATTACTAAGTGTGTTCTACCTCTTGTCATGCTCTGCAGGTGAGAGATGTAATGTGCAAGAGTCTGGCGGGATCCCTTGAACCTGAGCTGACCAATCCTGAGCATCGACAGATGATCTTCATTCTCCTTGGCCACAGATTTGTTGCAAACTATTTTGAGCAATATGAGTTTGAACCAAGGCTGTTAGTAAGTACCCCAGTTACTTTTAATTCTACCTCTTATATCCTGGTATTAGGTTTTAAAAAAGGGAGAAAACTGAGTGAGATAAAAGGGAATTATGATGGTTAAATAGTCCCCTAAGCACCTGAAGTTGTCCTCAAATTGTCAAAAAACATGATAGTTACCACATTTTGCTAAGTTTTGGAAGCACTGGATGCAGTACACATTTGATGTCTGTGTTTCTTTTTGCTATTGTCAGGGTTTTTAAAGATATATCATCATCTTTAAAATAAATTTTTAGAATTTTATTCTTGGTGTGAATATAGTGGATGTAGACTACTGGTGGTTTGGAATGTCAGTTCTATTTTTTAAATGATTAAAATGATTGGATGAATAAATAAATTCATAAATGTAATTGTAGGATAACTTGAGAAGTGAAGAGAAGAAGAAACTTCAACAAGATGTCCAGATAATTTTGAAGGATAAAATGAAAAAAGCTGTGAAAGAATGTGGATATTCACACTCACCAGTAGAAGATCCAGATGACACACCAGATGATCTCATGCAGTATTGGCAGCATACTAGAAAGCTGTTAGAGAAGGGGCTGCAAAGACACAGGCTCCATGAAGAAGATAAAGTAGGTCTAGAGATTTATTGAATCATTTTGTCATTTGTCACAAGTTGAGGCAAAGATGTGGTAAATGTTTCAGTGTAAAAAATAGAAAAAGAAAAACCCTCAAAAATCTTCCAAATAAAAACAGTATAAATCATGATTATCAACATCATTGTCATTATTACCATTGTCATTAACATTGTAGCTGTCATATTCATTGTCACATAATTTTTTAGAATCAACCTCAATTTTATATTTTAGTGTATTTTTTTCATGTTATGTTACATACTTCATGTATGTGCCTTTTCTATATTGCTTTTTTCTTTTAAATTTGTTGTCTTTTTCTAATAATATACTTTTATCAGCATAATCTTCAATACCTTTGTCATACTTCATTCTCAGGCCTACTCTTCACATTGCAGATGTATATGTTTTTTTGCAGAGTCCCCATAATACATGGCAACAAATCAAAGGTGTTGCCGGGGTGATCACAAGTAATCCATCTGAACCCCCTAACTGCTGGAGTCACATGAGTGACACCCTAAGCCATTCAATATTAGCAATCCTTAGGAGGGCGCCACACAGGTTGCAGAACGTCTGCAGTCGCCTACTAGGTAGACAGTTACCAGCTAGCTTAAGGAGGTATATATGGACAAATTGTACGCTACGCTCTAGTTCGCTGAGTAGCACTGCTTTCAGGTAAGCCACATCTGCTTAGGTGAGATGTGACATTCCATGGAAATGTGTATTGGGTTAAATGCCAAAATGCACTGATGGAACTTTATGGAATACTCCCTCGGGGAGCTTGAGTTTGTGTTCCATAGGCGTTTAATCCAATGACCGGGGGTAGTAATGTGAAGCGCTTAGAAGCCTTGTTGGCGTTAAGCGCTATATAAATCTAACATATTATATTATGAATATAAAAATAAGTAATAAATTTTGAATATATGAAAGAAAATATGAAAATATTAAAATATATATTAACATATGACCATAAAATTAATCATGAATTTTACTCTTTTCGTATCAGTATCTGTGTTTATGTGCTTAATAGTACTATGTTTATTTTAACTCTGTTGTTTATATATAAATATTACACAAATTAATTTCTAATCTTATACTGCTGTAACTGATCATGAACTTATTTTATTCTGTAAAGAATTGATTTCTTTGCAGAACACATGAAAAAGCCATGAGAAATAAATATGGCAAGAGTGTATCTAAAGGTAAACTACAGCTGAAGATACAGAATGCATCAGAGACCCCAGTTAACAGACTCATCAGTAAGTCTGTAGCAGAGGTAAGGTCAGTTTCATAGGCATCCACTCACAATATTATAGTTACCGTATAACAAAGGTTAATTGTCATATGATATTAGTGTGGTATAAAAAACTTTCCAAAAAGGGGTGAGCTTATAGGCTACTCAGGGTTTTCTCGTGTCGGGTATCCAAGTGGCATATTTTTTTTTGGTGGGTAGGGGAGGTGGAGGGAAGCACATACCTGCCTAAAAACAAGTTGGAAGCCCCTGTCTTGCCCCACTAAACAAAATACCTCATATGATCTCATTTCCCAGCAAGCATCATCTAACTTTCACATTGTGCTCCTTTCCCTTTATCATCTCCTGCCTATATTTATACTCCTAAACAGTGGCTGCTCTAGGATGTATTTCAATTGGGGTGGGGGGGGGGCTAAGCTTCCGACAGGGGACTTAAGCTCATAGGCCCGAGCTGGGGGAAGGGTTTAAGAAGGGGTTCCCCTTCCCAAATGAGATTTTTTTAGAGAATAGGAACCTCTGGATGGCTGGAAATGGCACTCTCAGACTGTGACAAGAATGTGTTGGCTTGGCGTGGGCCTATTTTTATATTGTTTATGGTCTGACGAGCTCTGTCTGATGGGGGGTTGACTTGATCAGTGGGGGACTTAAACCCAGTCCCCTTACCCCACCCCAGCCAGTGCTGCCACTGCTCCTAAATACCCAACTGGCGTACCCAAGAAACTAGGGTAACAATGATGGTGATAATGATCACTGAGTTATGAGCTATCACTGGGCTATGAATCATAATTAACAAAGTTTGTATACTTTATTTCCATAAGAATTCTCTCTGCAACGTTGTAAGTTGTGACATTTTATGTGGTTTTTTTTTTTTTTTTCAGGTGATGGAAAAGACTCCTAGCATGCAATCCTACCAGACATTGAGTTTAAAGGAACACATTAGGAAGATAATAAACATCATGTTTACTTACAACCAGGTGTTTGAGCCATACCTGATACATTGGCTCTTTCCATTGGTGTTAGCTTACAGAGAGGATAGTGATGCTGGTATGCAAACTTGTTATGTTTTACTGCATTACAATACAGTACATAATTTTAAAAAATAGTTTTATTCTCTAGAACTGTTCTTTAAAATTATTATTTGCTGTAATTATAGGTTTCTGATACACCATGTGCCATATGCCACATGATGATGTACCAAAAACCTATAATTATTTATTAATTTCTATTGTCATACAAACCTTCAAGACATATTTTGCCCTCAGCTTGCTCTCTGAGGGCCTCTGTCTCGGTGGTTGCTTGCTGGGCACCTGGATGGCTGAGGCAGGGTAAATGTTGCTCCAGTTTCTTAATCTGGTCTCCTTGAGAGCAGTCCAGGCATGGTGATAGCGGTGGCCATGGATGGTAGACCCTCAGAGAGCTGAATGATGGGGACGTTTTTATTTTTATTGTTTAAAGTAAAGATTTTTGCTCGACACTTTTCGGGGCTGCTTATGGCCAGAAACTTAATTAGAAACTGATAGTAATAATAATAGATTAAAAAAATGTAATAACAAGTAGAATAGAATACCACAAAGCCTGATACTCAGATTCAAAACTCAGTGAGCTGAAGGGGCAGAGCCTTCAAATTGAAGTTAGCTCCTTAATAAGAAGAAGAATTTGTGGTAACTATGATACATCCACATCCTAACTTGGCTACACTTTTTTTTCAAAGTTTGAATTTTAGTCTGAACTATATGTAAGACTTATTTAGCCTAATTTACCTAGGTCTTCATTCTCACTACTAATTAAATTTTCTGGTCATCAGGTACAAGCACACTTTCAAAGTTGACACAACTTTCATGTTCTAGGGTATATATATATATATATTTATATACCACAGTATATAAATTTCAAAATAGCATAACATGGTCATTTTTTTTCTGTACAGATATTATGTATCTATGTTTTCCCATTTCACATATATATATATATGATTTATTTTAATATTTGTATTGTATTTTCTTATTATATTTGCTTAGCTGAGTTTTCCTATGAGATGGCTATGTACATGGATGAGCTACAGCATGGGATGTTTCCTACCTGGCCACAGGTGTTTTCTGTTGCAGAGGGCGCCCTACAGAGGCTTCAACAAATTGACATTGACTTCTATAATCATCTGCAACAAAGTTGCAGTAAGGAATATATGCTGGATATCAAGGTGAGTCATAAATCATTCTGTTTTTAAAACGATTAAAAAAATATGCTACATGCTATTTTGATTTTGGCAATTGCTCCTCTTTGAATGTTTGCCCCATTACTTTTTTCACTTGAAAAAATATGCCTATGTATGTGTCTCAACATCTCTAGTAGCTTGGCTTTGAACATACACTGTGCCTTTGATCATTATTCTTAGAATTGACGCATTATAAGTTTATTATTTAAATGATTTACACTTGGGATAAACCCTAAATTGTTTACAGTTATTAAGAAATTCAAATCAGCTTTTGCTTTACATGATTTTTTGAGTAGTTTCCCTAGCAAACCATTGCTTATGTACAGCCTGGATCGGCTCAGGTGTTGTGGCACGTAGCCTAAGTGTCGTTTGTTGTCTCGTCATAGAAAATTAATATAATTATCATAAGTTTCTTATTATAAACATTTGGCAATCAAATTGCCTTCAGTCATTACATGCAATATATCTGACACTTGGGAGTCAACTTCTTCATCATCCCTAGAATTGTTGAAGAAGGTTGTTAAGTAAGGAAATCATACAGAAGAATGTCTTCTCATTATCTGTAATAATAATATAACCAACTGTTCACAAATATGAACTATTTGAAATAATAACTATATGAACATAATTGTATACTTTCAGGATTACATGGTAGAAATGCTAATGAAAGAGCAGCAGAAATCCCATGGCACTGGTTCAATGTCTGTAGTAAATCTGTCTAGCCCAGTCATGCTTGCAAGAAAGTGGGTGGGAGAGGTAGGTTACATTCAGATGCCAAATTCCTGTAGTTAAATGCACCTAACAGCAGCCTCCGCTAAGCTGTAGAGAAGTTAAAAAATGTAAATTCTATTTTTATTTGTTTATTTCCTCCGAAGAGGATGGGCCGATCCTGGAGGTACTGCAATACCAGGCCAACCCGTGGCCAGGACGGAGCAAGCTCCTATTCCATGGCCTAATTTCAAAAATCAGTTTAATATAGAAGCTACTCAATGAGCAGCGTTTCAGATATTAAGCTGAAAAGAACAGATACTACACATGATCTTAGCCAAAAGGCCGAGAAGCGATACCATCAAAAAGTAGTCGGTAGTATCTATATGACAAACCATACTGCTGTTGTGTTGGTGTTAAATAGAGTAAATTTCATATCTTTATTGTAAAAGATATTAAAATAATCAGTTTAATATGTATAAAGTGTTTTTATTATGTTATTACATCAATAGTAAGCAAGACTTCATATTGGTAATTAATAATTAATAAACAAGGTTTATAATGTTCAAAAATAACTAATGAATATTCATTAGCTTTATGCATGAACGCTCCTTCATTGTTGGTTGCGTGTGTATTCTGGGCCCTTTTCTGATTGGTCAGTTTTAAGTTTGATGACACACTGGAAAGGTCTATTCTGCCTCATATCAAGTCAGCCATGGTTTAGGTTATCAAAAGAGTAAAATGCAAAAACTTACACTAAGTTTAAATCCATAATGGAGAAAATATACTATTTTGTACTGAAATCTTAGTGTTTCAATAGATTTTCCATTTTTAAAGATTCTTGAAATTTGCTGATTTGAATGCCTTGCACATCCTTTTACCAGTCAGTAATCTTTACAGGTTTTATCACGTGCAGAGGAAAGTATACAAGTTCCATGTTTCTTTTCTCTGCTGGTTACAAAGATCCAGAGGAACATGTAATTCTATTTTTGGTTTGTTTATTTCCTCCAAAGAGGATGAGCCTATCCTGGAGGTACTGCAATACCAGGCCAACCCGTGGCCAGGACGGAGCAAGCTCCTATTCCATGGCCTAATTTCAAAAATCAGTTTAATATAGAAGCTACTCAATGAGCAGCGTTTCAGATATTAAGCTGAAAAGAACAGATACTACACATGATCTTAGCCAAAAGGCCGAGAAGCGATACCATCATCAAGTAGCGAGTAGTATATACATGAAAAACCATACTGCTATTGTGTTGATGTCAAATAGAGAACATTTCATAATATCTTTATTTTTAAAAGATACTCAAATAATCAGTTAAATAAAAGTTAATTTTAAAAATGTACAGTGTTTGTTTATTATCTTATTATATCAATAGTAAGCAAGGATTTATACTGTTCATTAATAATATTTATAAACAAGGAATTTATAATGTTCAAAAGTATTTAATGAATATTAATTAGCTTTATGCATGAATGCTTCTTCATTGTCCGCCTTCCTACTACTAGCTTTTGTTGTACAATACTATAACCCAATTGTACTATTGTAAAACCTTGAATAGAAGCCCAATGGGCTTAATCTCGAGGAGCCAATTCTGAATTTCCCCCTTTTTAGTTTGCAAAAGTAGCCTCAAAAAGAACTCATGGTTTCAAGAAAGCTTGAGCTTCTTTTTGAGATAGTACACTACATACACTCTAAATGAATTTCAAACAAACAAAATAAATTAAAAACATGCTTGGTTTATACAGTAGTTTCAATGATTTAATACTTGTTAATACACTCCATGATACAGTAGTATATACAGGTAGGTTATTATTATTATTATTATTATTATTATTATTATTATTATTAAATAAAAATACTAAATTTAAACAAATTAGAATACTAAATATTAGACAAATACCATTATTGTAGTAAAGTATACTCTATTAAAGTACATTAATGG